TGATGCTGGCCATACTGGAGAAGCTTGTTGGATTAACGGCTGTATTTCTCTGATGAGTGTATCTATTTAGAATGTTATTGTTCTTTCTCAGTTTGTTGCTGAACTCAAAACAGGCCAAATTTGGCCCCAGGAACGCAATTCCTCATCTGGGAACTGTCCCAGGAAATCGGGGATGTCTGGTCACCCTTTACAGTAGGCGCAGTCGAACAGGAAGTTCTTCAGATAAGATTTAAAGACAGATGAAAAGCAGGTGAAGCAGAGTGATTGAGCAGGGAGTTCTAGAGGTTGGGCGCGTACGAGCTGAAGACATGGCCACTGATGGTGGTGTGGAGGGGCTGGAGGATGTGCAGCGGGTCCATGTTAGTTAAGAGAAATTAATGAGTAGAGGAATGGGGTCCATGCAGTTCAGTGAGGTAGGAAGGTGAAGGGATTTGTATGTGAAGGTGACGATCTTGACATCAATCCACGTTCTGTATTTATCTGCAATCCATAATGTAAAGTGTCTGAATTCCTGGTGCCTGTTAGGAGTTGGATCGGCCTCTCCCTCCTTAACGATTTGCCTCTCTCTCCAGAATGAAAAAGTTTCAGTATCATAGTGAGGACGTGATACCTAAATTGCAGTCACAGAGGTACATTTGGAGAGGTACAGAGAGAGGGAGCAAGTCGGAAGGAGTCCCCGATGGAGCACCAGAGAATGGGGGGCAGAATGGCTGAAAACCTTCCATAGATGATAGATTAGATAGAGTGGGCAACATCAAGTTTGTTTGTCAAATGCTGATCACACAGTGCATGTGTATTCCCTGGGTCCATTTTGTAAAATGTACTAAGCGCATAATTTCTGAACCAGAGAGACTTGATACAAGTTAGCCTCCGGCTGAGTTCCCTTTGCTTAAATCTGCAAGTCCCTGAGAACTCTGCTCGTCTCCAGAATGACATCTTCATGCTAATCTCTGCTGGTATGTGAATCGTTTTAGCTGTCATGAGACTAATATTTAGCTTCAACAGGGAAGTAGACAAGCTGATGAGTAAACTCTTTAGCAAACAGACAGGCATCTGGTGCTAGCAATATTCGCATATATCAGGTACAGTGCACTCTTCTGAAGATGATTATTTCACTCTGAGTGTTCCAGGCACTGGGGTTGTTAACATGGCTAAACTGCTGCCCCCCTATTTTGAGGTAAGTTATAGGCAAGGCAGGGCACCGAACGGGTCGCAGGGCACAAACTATGATGTGTAGTAATATGCTCTAATGCAGTCAGTTATGTTATACAACAAATATCTCACGCCACCATCTGGGTATTAGCCTCGATTAGGACAAAGATTCTTTGTGGAAAACATTTCAGCTCTATTTAGAATGTGGTTTTTTTTTCTGTTTCTCAAGGTGCGAGGATTAAACACTTCTACAGGTGTAAGCAGCCTGTGGGCTTTTCGTGTGAAATCAAAGCATGATGTTAGGTGTGGCACAAAAAGAAATGCAGCTTCATTCTGTTCAAAGGATAAAGCATAAATATTTAGGGATCCCCAAGTGCAGCCGAATCCCAGCACACAAATTATTGTGGAGCTAATTGATACTGTGTTCAATGCAGGGATTTATGTGCTGACTTTAATAAGAAGTGTAAGGTTAGAAAGTGCAGCGTATAATAACAAGACATCTAATCAGCCTGGATCACAGTCAAACGGCAAGTGAAATGCCACAGGGCTGTTTTAATCCTTCGCACTCGGTTGCTCCAGGTTAAGTGCTCCCAGGAATTTGTTGTTTATGTGCCATTTGGGCAGACTGATCGATTTTTACCATAGGAGTGTTGTGTTTGTGAGGTTTCTCCCTCAATTCAGGAATTAAAGATCAAATGAACTGGACACACTTGGGGAACGAGGGTGTTGGAGTTTTAAACTTTTAAAACATTTGCCAAGCTTTGTTTATTTGTGTGCAAATAGTAAATAAATCTGAACTATCGACAGGCAAAATTATGAGGATACTTAAAACTGACTTTTAATCAAACCCCATTAAGATCAACGTAGCCCTGGTTTTCTGGTTCCGAGCTTTAACATAATGTTGTAATGACAATAGAAGAGGTTAGCCACTGTTATGATGCTCTTCAGGATACACAGTCATGTATGGTGAGGGTGTACTGCCACCTCATTGTATACCAGAAATGTGGCGCAGTTCTGGCTTCCACTACATAGCTCTTTTATAAGGCAGTTTGATTTCAAGGCCCCAAAGCACCACGTTATACCAGGATGCAATTGTGTAAGTCAGGCCAGTGACAAGGTGACTGCAGGCAAGGTCAGTGCAAAACAAAATCAGTCCGGGTTCCCTCTTCTAATCACTGTCTGTGACTGCTGCTGGAAAATGTGTGATCACAGGCAGAGGACAGGATTGGGTTCAGCTATGACACCCCCATGGACAAATACTCAATTGATACCAATGGCCATTTGGGAAAGGTACTGGAGAGAAACTGACACCCAAAAATCCTCACTCCAGTACCTTCAAGATATGCAGGAGGAATATGTTGCGTGCCAGCCTGGCACAGTTGGTAGTACTCCTGCCTCTGAGTTACAAGGTTGTGGGTTCAAGTCCCATATCCCGATTTGGAACTCACATTGTCTAAGCTGACACTCAAATGCAGTGCTGGGGGTATGTTGGAGATGTCGTCCATTGGGTGAGAGTTAAAACAAAGTCCCATCTGCCTGTTCAGGTGGATGTTAAAAATCCCATGGCACTATTCGAAAAGAGAAGTAAGGTGCAAGAGTTGATTGAGACAGTCACAGAATTGAAGCAGATGCTTTTTTGAAACAGTCCAATGCCTACGATAGTCTTGGCTGTGTGCCTCTTCTTCCCAGTGATCAGTACAACTGATTTGGGCAAAATGTGAGCAATATTTATAGTTTATTGCTGCTGTGGAAACTCAGCGAGGTGCAATAAAATCCCTGTTGTGGAGCTTTCCGTCAGCTCTGATGGCTCCTTTATCTGTGCGGTCTTTTGCCTCGGAACCGGTTTAAAGTGTAGAAACTGCTTCCCACTCAGTTTGGGGGCCCTCAGCACTGATCGGGTTATTAAGAAGGTAGTTAATATAAATCAGTCAGAAATGTGAACAGCCTACACTTAACAGAGTTGGAAGGAGGCCAGCTATTTAGGCAAATAATATCATGCCTTGGAATTACTATTTTGCCATCACACGTGGTGTTCAGGGCTCTATGCCTCAGCCAGCAAGTGACAACAGCTATTTTGACTTGTGGGAGCTGAAATTCTACTATATTTAGCCTGAAAGACCATTAATTGTGTCCTAAAATTTAAATTGTTGGTAATTCTTGAATTCAGTTTGGAAGCTCTATCTGTTTAAGGTATGAGAAAATCAGCTTCCAAATTTAAGATTGAATTCAACAAATGTCCCGTCCCACAGTTCTTCGCAAAAATACATTTGAAAATAAAAAGGCTCACAGGCTAACAATAGCTGGAATTTCAAGCCGATAGTAGCCTCAGGAATGGGCTGTGCTTTCAAGGCCATTTGTCCTTTTTTNGTTAAAATCCTGTGAAGCATTTTGAGACACCTTGGGGACGTGATAAGGTGCTGTATCCAATGCAAAGATTAATAATAATAATAATCCTTGCATTTGATATGGTGCTTTTCACGTCTTCGAGACATCTCAAAGTGCTTCACAGAATAGACTATAAAGTGAATTGACTGTATATTTGTCGGCGAAACGCGGCAGCCAATTGTGCACAGCAGTGCCCCACAAACAGTTGCGGATTGAAAATGACCAACTTATTATTGTGTTTTGTTTTTGGAGGGATTATTATTTATTATTATAAGACATTGTGGTGTCCACAGAGGCATTCTTGACAGCCATCATCCCCTTCACTCCCAGTGTTTTATTCTGAACTGCTCAAGGCTGTCCCTTATACAACAGGCAACAGGATCATCACACCTCAAACTGCCATCAGAGATATAGCCATTGCTTTCAAATCTGTGTGGGTTATAAATACAGACAGTGTCTCTGCATCAAAAAACGTATGTTTTCTAAGCGCACCCTGATAGCTGGGAAGCAATGTCGCTTTACAATCATCCACACCCATTCTTATCTTGTTGAATTAAAATGGTACTCCATTTTGATAGCCTAGAAACACTGCATTTTAATTCCTAAGTTGATAAACAAACTAAAAATAAATTTTCTCTATAAATTTGCAGAGATAATTAGAATATTGCATGCAACCTCGCCTCCAGAGATCATTGGGATGTCTCTTAATAGAAGCTTATTTTCTTTGTTGCCAGCCAGTGGCTGGGAGATGTGGCTTTGTTGTCTCTTTGAACCATTTCTTTTTGTTGTGGCACAATCTGTGACACCCAATAGGACGGCCACTCCCTTGTCAGCTTCAGGATGGGTGCTACTGCCTTCAGGGCATCACATTCACAAAAACCATTCTTATTCACCTGTGTCTTCTCAGCGTTACAGAACCCTATTATAAAGGAATGCAAGGTGCTTGGATTGGTTTCAACTGGAAGGACCCACTTTGGACCTCAACCAGAAACAGTCCAAAGTATTAGTCCCAATGGGGCTTTGCATCCAAACTTCAATAAGAAATTAATTTCCTTGTGCAGAGGAGTGTTAGGGTGTGGAATTTATTACCATTGCTTATTGTGGATGAATCAATTGAATCATTCCAAAAGAAAAACTTGAGAGGGAAAATCATTAAGGGAAAGAGCTGGACAGTTGAAGTTGGATTAATAAAAAGATGGCTAAAAAAAAACCTGAGGTAGCAATGCTACAGCCATGATGAAAGCCATGGTGGCTTTTTTTTTATCCTTGCATTTGATATAGCGCTTTTCACGTCGGGAGGACGTCCCAAAGCGCTTGCTTTCTGTGCTGATCCTTTCTGTGTCATCATGTTTGAGACCCGTTGTGAACGGAGCTATACAAAATGTAAGGATTAGTATAATTATATCCCTTGAATCCATTTAGCTACATTTTAATCACCGATGCTGTTTAATTACTCTGCACAGAACCTGCTTTCTACTTTGGAGACATGGAGTATCAGGTGGAGGAGAGTGCTGGCTATGTGGAGGTGCGGGTCTGGAGGACAGGAACAGACCTATCGAAGACTGCGACTGTCACTGTGCGTTCTCGCAAAACAGAACCCATGTCAGCGGAAGGTATGTCAAAGGCACCCCCTCAAATCAGCAACTAAGATTTTTTTTAATAAGCAGATTACAATTTCCATACTCAGTTTGTAGCCGCAATTGCTCCTTGCGGTGTGTCCTCCAGGGTATCAGTGTGGTCTAATTTATCGATTCATAAAAGGATTCACAAGTTGCATAATTTGCAGAGACCTGAATGTGTCTCAGGCTGAATGCTGCTGCTGTGTGTGTGTGTGTGTCTGTGTGGAATGGGGTTCTTATTTCTAATTTTTGTGATGCTGGATTACAGGCAGAGGCTCCCAGGGTCCTCAGCAGATGGGTGTCCAAGCTGAGTTCCCATGGGTTAGAGGAATCAAACACGAGTTCTTGCAGAATTTGTTATTGTTATTTCTGAATTCCTTTTTTTCAAATTGGTCACCAATGGTCCAGATTCCATTATAATTAAATGATAACAATAGTTATTATTTACACTTGTGAGATCTTAAGGGAACCTTATGAGAAACTAGCTTTAAAATGAAGTCTATATTTTGTAGGAGTTTGCATATTAAGTGGAAGCCAACTTCAAAATTGAGATTTTTTCCAAATTCTGGGTGCTGTGAAATGCTAAGAAAACGGTGTGGATCTCTTAGACCCAGGTAGAATTTCTATGTTTGTAACCGTTTGAAGGAGAGCAGATGATGCCATACTGGAAGGTTATGAAACAATGTGTTTTTTTTCCTCTCTTTCTCAAGCTGGTGTGGACTATGTTGGAATCAGCCGAAACCTGGACTTTGCGCCGGGTGTCACCATGCAAACATTCCGGGTCACGGTGCTGGATGACCTGGGTCAGCCTATCCTGGAGGGACCGGAGACCTTTGAGTTGGTGCTACGCATGCCCATGAACTCAGTGCTCGGGGAACCCAGCAAGACGGCTGTCACTATCAACGACTCAATTTCTGACCGTAAGTTTGTTTTGTAGGAGCTGCTGTCCTTCAGATGAGACATGAAATTGCGGTCCGGTCCGCCTGTTCGTGTGGATGTTAAAAGATCCCATGGCAGTATTCGAAAAGAGAAGGGCGTTTCTCCCGGTTTGCTGGTTAGCAATTCCCCCAAAATAAAATTGGTCATTCACTTCACGCGGGACATTGCTGTGCGCAAAATGATTGCTGCGTTCACCCACAAATACACAAACACTCCACAGTAAATCCTGTGAGGCGGTTTGAGACATCCTCCTTATGTGAAAGGCACAATACCACATGTAAGTATTATTATAACCAGAAAGACCTCTGTGGGGGGAGTGTGGAGTGGAAGGGGGAGAGGGGGAGGATCTGAATCGGGCGGTTGGTCGACTCTCAAAGTTAATGTGGCAAAGCAGGTGACCTCTTCCTTTTTCTTGTGCGTTCACAGTGCCTAAGGCGCAGTTCAGGGACGCTCACTATGCCGGGAGTGAACAGGCTGGTCAAATCACCGCTCTGGTTTACCGCAGCGGTGACATCAGCTACAAGTCCACGGTACGCTGTTACACACGCCAGGGCACAGCCGAAGTCATGAGTGATTACGAGGAAAGGCCGAACACCGATGATTCCATCATAACTTTCCTGCCTGGTAAGCAATCGACCTTGACATGAGGAAGCTCCTTCAAACTGTGGGAATTTGGTCCAGTACAATTCATGTCATAAGGTTATGGGCAGTGGGTTCTTCCCCGCTCCCCATTCAATGTTTAATGAAGGTTTATGGAAGTTCCTCTTTACTCGTTGCAGAGATGTTGATGGCACATGCTTACTTCAGGAAGTTCCCATTACAAGACAACATCATCGAAGTTGCTTCGCTTGCAATTCAAATGAAATGAATGTGGAGTCCCGTAGCTCAGTGGTTAGAGCACTCGCTTTGCAAGCGAGAGACCTAAGTTCAATTCCAGGCAGGGCAAAACCTTGGGCAAGTTTCCTTACTCCACACGCCTAATAATAATCCCTCCAAAACCAAAAATAATAATAAAATTGGTCATTTTCAATCTACGACTGTTTGTGGGACATTGCTGTGCGCAATTGGCTGCCGCGTCCGCCCACAAATATACAGTCAATTTACTTTACAGTGTGTTCTGTGAAGCGCTTTGGGACGTCCTCCCGACGTGAAAAGCGCTATATCAAATGCAAGGATTATTATTATTAAAACCAGCTTCAAAGTTAAGATTTGTAGGAAGAATTTGTCCGATCTTAAATTTAAAAACTAAATGGTCTCACCAGCTAAATCTAGGTGGAATTTCAGGCCTTGAGTCTTTGGAGGTGGTGCTCCTGACACTTTCAACTGTATGGAACTGCACGTGAGCAAAAGAAATAAGACTTAAAGTGGACAAAAAAGAAATGGACGGATATCTGTAACCATGTCTGTAACCATCATAATTGCTATGATAGGGACATGGATGGTTAAAGGCCTAAGGGTTGGGGAGTCGGCAAAAACTTTTAAGTGTTTTACAACTGACATCTGCACCCTGAGATTGGGTTACATTGCTCACTGCTGCCTGTAACATGCCCGGCTTCATTCCTTTTGAGGGCTTTTAATTCACTTTGGGGGATTATATTTTTGCCATTGACACCTGTCAGCAATGCATCATGCTCTTTATGGAAGAGGATGCGCTTATCAGTGGGTATTTCCAATTTGCATCTCCTGTTACTTAAGCAGTACAGTACTCCTTGTCTGATCATGTAAATACACTGGAGGAGGTAAAAAACACTTGTTGGAAAAGCAGGAACAAGCACCTCAGGATATACAGTGCACCTCCATTAGAGAACCTCATGTATGTCACATCAAGTTACGGGACCTCAACTCTGGGACATCATTTACACTGTATTTTCCCAACAGGGCTCTTAAGTTTCCATTTTGCTGTAAGATCAAGTGATCCCTGCGGATTTGTATTGCAGCTCATTTCTGATGCCTTGAGACTCAAACAGCTGCAAAGTCAGCCTGGCTCATTGGTAGCATCTCTCACTCCTGGGTAAGAAGGTTGTGGGTTCAAGCCCCATCTTGGGATTTGGAATCAGATCATCGAAGATGACACACCAATGCAATACTGGGGGTTTGCTGCGTTGTTGGAGGTGCCATCCTTTGGATGAGACGTAAAACCAAGGTCCCGACTGCCTGTTCAGGTGGATGTTAAAGAGTTTGTGGGACATTGCTATGCGCAATTGGTGCCGCAAAACACAATCACTCCACTTCACAATATATCTTGTGAAGCACTTTCGGACATCCTTCCAACGTGAAAGGTGCTATACCAAATGCAAGGATTATTATTATTATTAATAATGCTGGGATTCTCCTCAGCAATGTTCTGCTCAAACCTTAAACTGGGGTTACTTAAATATTACCAAGGCTGTGTTTTGTGTAATGTCAGGGATGTTTGACACTGAGATTTGACTGATGCCTTTTGCTTGTTACCCAGGGGAGATTGAGAAGCCCTGCATCGTCACTCTTGTGGATGATACCATTTATGAGGAAGAGGAAGAGTTCCGTCTGGTACTCGGATCCGCCAATAGTCAGTCGCTGTTCGGTGCTTCTGTGGGAGAACAGAACGAAACACTGATAAAGATCACAGATGAAGGAGATAGTAGGTTCACAACCTAACGGATCAATAGAACTTGGCAGATTTCTGAAAGCGAATAACACATTAAAGAGAGAAATGTAACGTCACCTTTCATTTTTTTTAATAGAGCCCATCATAAAATTCTCTGAAACAAAATACAGCATTCAGGAGCCTCAAGAACCGGGTGAGGTGGCGGTTGTGATAATCCCAGTGCTGCGTCTGGGCGATGCATCAAAAGTCTCCATTGTACGAGTTCACACCAAAGATGGCTCAGCCACCTCTGGTGAAGACTATAACCCGCTCTCTGAAGGTGAGTCTACTGCTGATAAACATTGGGAAGCTACATAGGATCGCCTAACCCTTTTCGCATCCTTTATACGTCTCAGTCCTTCCAGAACTCATCTGGTCCTGTCCTCTTGCTCCAAAAGTGTGGACAGTGATGGGATGGGTTATTTTGTGCTCTATAGGAAGTATTTCTTTCTGATGTGAAGGAATCTTTCCTCTGTTGTTTAAGATCTGGGGATCATCTGCAGATAGGTCTGAAGGTGAGGTACAGAATGATGCTACGTACAGTATCTATAAGTTAGAGACCTTGCCTCTGAGTCAGAAGATTAGCACTCTCGCCTCCGCGTTAGAAGGTTGACCATGTCCAAGCGGTGGTAATTTGCTATTCTCCTCATCACTCTGTGCACTGGAGCAAAGAGACTGAGAATAATTACTTCTGAAGGTGTTTGAGGTTTCGATGCAAAAAAGTCCTATAAATATGCAAATTCTTCCTTATTCTGCCCATGCACCCCTTGTCGTGCTATACCAAATGTGAGGATTCCTATTTTTAATAATATGGCCGCTACAGATCGGTAACAAACCCGAGGATAAGGATTTAGTGCCAATTTGTTTAGAAAGGGAATAACATTTCTGTGACATTTTCTAGATATCGAGTTTAAAGAAGGTGAAAGTGAGCATGTGATAGAGATCGAAGTTATGTACGACGGAGAGCGGGAGATGAGAGAAGCTTTCACTGTCCACCTGAAGCCTGATGAGAACATGGTGGCTGAAACCCAGGTACTACTTCACTCCTCACAGTGGATAAACATCCCCACACCCGTTATTCCTAATCACTGACAGCAAAGGGTCATATTTTCTACCCAAAAAATAGTCCTGTTGTAACTTTTTTTATCTCCTCCAATTTTTCTCCCTTCCGCCTCTCCTGACTCTTGAATTTCCTTTTTGCCTTCTATTGGTATACGTCACAGCCAAACTGCATCCCCACCCCCACACACACTGTGTGTGAGGTCGCAGAGGTAGGAGGGAGCAAGGCCATGGAGGGCTTTGAAAGTGAGGACTCGGATCTTGAACTGTATCCTCTGTGTGATGGGAAACCAGAGGATGGGGGTGATAGGGTCACGGAGCCTGGTGCGGGAGAGGACATGCACTGCAAAGTACTGGATGATCTGCAGCCTATGGGGGGAGGAGTTGGGGAGGCCGAGTGTCATTTACCTGCATTTTCTTGATCTCCTCATGCATCGTGCTGAGACATTAACCTGTCCATGTCTTTGCAGACGTTGATTGACTGGTTGCACATTTCTGGTATTCTCTGAGTTTGTATTAGATTACAAGCGTCTGCAGGTTTTGTTTTATTTGTAGAATGAAACATGTCCTTCACTTTATCTTAAGATACCAGTGGAGCAGTTGCTGTGAGGGTCACGTCCGTGTGTCTTTTGTTGGGTGATAGCGACTGTTTTTTCTCTCAGATGAGCAAAGCGATTGTGTACATTGAAGAAATGGACAGTGTGGCAGATGTCACCTTTCCAGCAGTCCCTCAGGTGGCCTCGCTCCTGCTGTACGACGATACTGCCAAAGTGAAAGACTCACCACATCCACCCACGGGCTACCCCGTTACCTGTGTGACGGTAAGAGCTACTGAGATTGTGTTTGGTGCCATCGTTATTGAAAATGCGATAGAGAAAGGGAATCAGAAACTGCCCTCTAGGCCCGAAGGGAGTTCTGTCCGTGTCTTGACCAACAATCCCCCAAATAAAATCACTCCTCGGCTGTTGCTGTACACAAATTGGCTGCCATGTTTGCCCAAAAGGATACAGTCACTACACTTTACAGTGCATCTTGTGAAGTGTATTGGGATGTCTCAATGACACGATGTGACCATATACCAAATTAGTTTTTTATAAATTCTACCAAGATTCAGTTTGTCAGACCGTGTTGCCTTAACATTTCTGATCATGCCTCAATTGTGTTGAAAAGTTTTGAATTCTGTCTTGTAACAATCCTTGCATTTCATATTGTGCCTTATCGTGTCGTTAAGATGGCTCAAAGCGTTTCACAGAATATATTGTAAAGTGGATTCACTGTGTATTTTGTGGGTGAAACGTGGCAGCCATTTTTTTAATAAGCAAGCCAGTTTTCTGAAGTTCTTAAAGTCCCGTCTTCCACAACTCGGCTAAATTTAAGAGTTTTCCATAAGTAAATTAAATCTTAAATTTAAGCAAAGCTTAAATCTTAAAACAAACTATCGTTTTTTGGGCAATGATTAGGTGGAATTTTAGCCCTTTTTTCACTGCGTGAACCACTAAAAGTATTCTAATCCCAATCTCTTGCTCATAATAAAATATTAGTTTAATATTTTACACAGTCTTAAATTTCAAGACAACATAGTCTTACACGCTAAGGCTAAGGCAATATCATGGTGAAATAAAAAGTGCTTGTTGCAAAAGGGCAGTGTAAATGGGACTTTGGATCAGCCTTTTTTGGAAACCCATCACCAAGTGTCAGACACTGGCTGTCAAAAAAAATGATTCAAAGTGCCACTTGTGCTGCCCTTTTCGCAAACGTAAAGCTGCACCAGGTGAAGTGCCCATGGTTATAAAGTGATCTCCTGCAGGGAGCTCCATATATGTCACACTGCCCACCTGGCTCCAACCCAGGATTTCATCTTAGTTGAGTTCTGGTGAGTCCTTGTTCTCTGGGTGTGGATGAGGGATGATTTCCCCAACTGTCTTACTCAGCTCGGGACCTGTGTGAACGATGTTAATGCTCGAGGATTGATACTTTCTCACAGAGGAGTCACAGTTCCAGTCTAATTCCCAGGCTGTTGTAATTATGAAGACAGAATTGGTTGGTGGTTTTCATTGGATTTTAGTTAACAGTGATCACAGATATTCACGTCCCACATCATCAGCTCCATATCGCTTCCTATCACTTCATTTTGGTTGTTCTTTATGGCATTATTTATGGTGGCTAATGATAGTGGTAACGAATTTCTTTCTCCGTTGGCAGGCCTGCAATCCCAAGTACTCAGACTTTGATAAAACTGGGTCCATCTGCACTGCAGAGAATATCAATGATACACTCTCCCAGTATCGCTGGCTGGTCAGTGCTCCGAGCGGCCTGGATGGTGTGACCAGCCCCATGCGTGAAGTGGACTCTAACACGTTCTTCAGCAGCACAAAGACCATCACTCTGGACTCTATCTACTTCCAGGCAGGCTCCCGGGTGCAGTGTGCGGCCCGTGCATTCACTGCTAATGGAGAGGCCGGTCTGGAGCTTCTTAGTCCTATTGTTACTATCAGCAAACAGGATGGTGAGCAGCCAGGCACAAAAATAACACTCCTTACATTGCAGACCAGCTTGTGATCTCCAGGATTCCCCTCTTTCTCATTACTCAGTGTGTTTATGTTAACGGCATATTACCACCTGTTGTTTGCCAACAACAGTGACCTATTGACCTGTTTTAATGGAATTTCCTTTTGAAAGATTACATTTTCCAGCATTAATCGGTAGCGGGGAGTAAATTTGGTCTTGGTGTAAAGGTGCAATTGCAACTCATGGATTGGAAATTGTAATTCTGGCTCGGGGATCGGGAGCTGTAATACTAATTTTTTCACACTTTTTAAGCCTTCAAATGATGTGATCTACCAGAAACTGTATTCCTCACGACCTCATAATAGTCCATTATTATAAATTCCTCCTGAATGTACATTGGTGAACATTGCACAAAGCACATGAGTGGTGCTACCAGTTACACCCACATTTTCTGGTTGCTAAGGACAATCCATTTCCAACTCTGCTAAACCAAAGTCAGAACCTATTGAGTTGAACCCCTCATCCAACAACATCACTGCTAAACACTAAAAACATGTGTGCATAGCTCCTCTGCGGCAAATGCATAATTTAATATTGAGGTTATTTAAAAGCAAACGGGGGCAAATACCTGAAATGTGCTGAAATGAGAAGTTCAGAACTGTGCCCACATCAATCCATGAATGAGGGAAGAGAAGAGATTAGAGAGGTATGGGAGGGGGATTGGGAGATAGGATTAGGATGGATGGAGACTTGTGTACAGTATAAGTCCCGCACCACAGATAAATTGGGCCAAATGGCTGGTTTTGGTGCTGTACAGTCTATGTAATTCTATATGTAATTCTATGTAATTCTATATCCTTTGGAAAGCAGTTTCTTGCAGCTCTTAAAAAAAATCCATCTTCCAAATTGAGATGACCTGAAGAATTTTCCAAATTCTGCATCATTTTATACTTAAAGGCACAATGGTTTTTGTGGCTAAGACTGGAAGTTGGGACCAAAGATAATACTGAGACCAAAGTCCTCGGAATCCATTATTATGATGTCCTCCTGAGTGTAAATTGGTTCACTGAGCATATTTATTTTAGGGCAACAAATAAAATAACTAAAGGCTGTGCTTGTGTATTAGTGTCTATTGTGTTTTCAGCAAAGAATAGGATTCTGTAGATGCTTCATATACTGGCTCAGGATCTGAATCGCTTTGGGTGTTGTGCTTCCAGGTCTGTGCCAGTCCCGAGTGCCCGGTGTGGTTGGTGCGGAACCTTTCTCTGCAAAGCTGCGCTACACCGGAGCAGAAGACCCTGACTATCCCAACCTGATCAAGCTGACTGTGACCATGCCGCACATGGATGGTACGTGTATCTTAACGGTGGTGATGTCAGGCCCTCAATTTATTCTTGATTTAAACCAGCAGCATAGAAATCTGCAACATAGAAAGTGCTACTTGTTTATCCCTTTCCTCATACCCCTTTATATTCTCCCTTTTCTTTTTAATTGCCTCTTCAAAGCTGTTATGGATTGTGCCTCAACCAGTTCCAGGTGCGACATTCCATGTCTGTATAAAAAAACACATCTCCTCTAAATTGGTAATGATTGTTCATACACATATGTATAACATATACATATATCAGCTCCTCTGTTGGGCCAAGGAAAGTCCAACGAACAGGCGGAGAGCAGGATGTCAGCTGCAAAACAGCCTTTTCAGACCTTCGGAATCACGTTTATTTCCTGATTTATTTTTCGCTGAATGTCATTGGAATCTCACGATTTCATTCGCAAAAGTGGAAGTCCGGATTAATGCAATGACGTTTCTGTCTTCATATCCATTAACTCAGCGCAATCCATCATGTAGCAAAATAGACTTAAATTGGTTAACACAAATATCAAATTGTCTGGCAACCTAACTTCCCTTGTGAAATTGGCTGCCTTTGAGCTCTAGGCTTTGGTACAATTTCTGAATGTCTGTAGTTGGACACCTATATTTCATACTACTTTTGGACAACATTTCGACAGTTTATTTTATATTTCAGGCATGCTCCCTGTCATCTCCACCAGGCCAATGTCCAACTTTGAGTTGACCCTAAGCCCAGATGGTACCCGAGTTGGCAATCACAAATGCTCAAATCTTTTGGACTATAATGAAATCACGACTCGTTACGGCTTCCTTACTGAAGCAACCAAGAACCCCGAGGTGATTGGTGAAACCTCTCCGTACCAATACAGCACCGCTCTGCGCTCCGCAAGCACTCTGCGCTTTTACCGCAACCTCAATCTGGAAGCGTGTCTCTGGGAGTTCACCAGCTATTATGATATGTCTGAACTTCTAACAGACTGTGGAGGCAACATTGGAACAGATGGACAGGTAAGATGAATCACCTTATACCTTATTGCTAATCAGGTACTAATAATAATATTAATAATAACAATCCTTATTTGTATTAAAATGTAAGGTGATTGTCAAAAGTCCCTACATTTTGAAAGCTTATTTCTGTACTTAAAAAGAACCGGCTTCCAAATTAATACTGAATTCAAAAATTTCCACAATTGTTTGCGAGCTTACATTTTAAAACAAAATAGACATTCATTAAATGGAATTTCAGCCCTCAGGTTTTCCTCCACATGAGCCACCTAACCGAGTTGTACTCCCCTGCTCACTTTCCGTATGCTTCTTCTTTTTCCAAGCATCTGCTTTCCTTTCAAAAGAACCTGTGGTTGTGAATGCAGCTTGTGTGAGAAATAGACCATGTGAAGGAAAATGTGAGGTATTGTGATTGTCACCAGCCTCAGAGTGCCAGGTTTCTCCTGATCGCTACACCTTCCCGCGCCTCTCCTCCTTTGTGTAGATGAGGATGATATTATCTTTAACTGTGATTCTCTTCATGATGGAAAAGGTGCCAACTATCACTCTGAGTCGTGCATGTGAAGAATGGCCAGTTGAGCGAGGTATCAGATTGTGCCTGGCTACCTTGGTGTAAAGAAAAAAGGAATCCGACACCTTCAACAAAAGTGGAGGGAGCAAATTAGCAGAGAGGAAAAAGGAACATGATTCTCTGATGGCAGTGATCTGAGCTGCAATAATCCTGCCCCCCGCCCCTCCCTTTACAGGTCCTAATGTGATCACCACTTGATTTGCAGGTTCTGAACCTGGTCCAGTCTTACGTAACCCTGCGTGTGCCTCTCTACGTCTCCTACATCTTCCATTCCCCTGTGGCGGTGGGTGGCTGGCAGCACTTTGATCTGACGTCAGAGTTGAAGCTCACCTTTGTGTACGACACTGCCATCCTGTGGAACGATGGTGTCGGCAGCCCTCCAGAAGCAGAACTCCAAGGTGAGGTGGAATATAATCCCTTTGGTTGCTCTACCACAGAGCACCAGGACCTTGGGCTCATTTATGTTCATTTTCATGTCACCTACCGAATAATGTTAGTGTATGTGTGCTCTTCATCCAGCAAACTAGGCAGGAGCTTTCAAAGTATTATATTCATGGTTTCTAGGTGTAAGGTCTTAATATTGGCTAAGGCGCTGGGAGGATGTAGCCTGATTGAGATCAAATGGTCTGAGAGCCCTTATGAACCTTCTTTGTGATTGTATAAGATAAGCCAGGGTCTCCAGTATTTCAGCACCTTATCTAAATGTAATTTGATCAGTAGTCAGATGTTTACAATTACATTTATGTCGTGTCTTTCACGTTGGGAGGACTTCCCAAAGCGCTGAACAGTGCTGGCTGGGCATCTGAGCTGGGGGTGGGAGCAGAGGGGTGGAGAGGGGAAGGATGCCCAAAATGTGGTCGAAGAGGTAGGTCATGAAATAGACCTTGAAGAGGTGAGTGAAGCAGTCAGTCAGAGGGACTCCGGGATGGAGTTATAGAGAGTGGGGCAGAAAGGTTGAAAGCCCACTTGCTGATAATGGTGAGGGGTAGGGTGGGGGACATGAAGGAGGCTGTGTTTGCTGAGTGAAGGAAGGGCCAGGTCGGTACAGTTGTGCAGGTCACAGAGCTAGATGAGGCGAGACTGGAGGGATTCAGAGGTAAGAACAAGTATCTTGAACTTGATCCGCTAGTGGATGAGGAAGGAGACAATGAGCAAGCGAGAATGGGGGTGATAGGTTTGCATTTAATATCTAGGATCTACCTCACTAAGCACTTGCGGTGCTTAACTGACAAGTTTCTCAGTAAGTGGTAAATTGTCCTCTTAAGTTAAAGAGAGTGTTTCACTGTTTGGTGCAGGTGCCTTGTACCCAACCAGCATGAGAATCAATGAGGAGGGACGACTAGTGGTAAACTTCAAGACAGAAGTGCGATTCCGAGGGCAGTTTGTCATGTCTCACCCCGGTAAGTAACCCATTTTAATTAATTAAAGTAAATGCATTTTAGTTCATGACATCTGTAAAATAATTGTTGCAGGTATTAATATCATGAGACATATGCCACACCTAGAGACATAAAGTAACACAGTAACACACTGACAGCTTCAATAACTTGCTGCTGAAGTGGGTTCTGATGTTCATGTGCTTGCAATTGCTGCTGGCCTTGTAACAGGTGTGCTGTCCTCTGCCGCAGGTACTTCACTGGCCTCAATGGTGATGTCTGCTGATCACCCTGGCCTCACCTTCACTCTGAGCCTTGTTCGCAGTGAACCGTCCTACAAACAGCCAGCACAGCAGTGGAGTTTCATCTCTGACTTTGCGGTAAGCCACTAGTCCCAGTTCAAACTTGCCAATTTCTTTCTTATCATTCCCCACCCCCCAATTCCTTGTGTATTTCCCATCATATTTCTGATTTCAAATCAGTCCATGCCACTTGTCTGGTCCCTTGTTTCACTCCTTTCTTGTTATTTGAATTTTCTTCCTCTCCCTCTTTGTCTGCAGTCCTGCCCCATGCTCTTTTCTGAACCTTTTCTGCGTTATATAAAAGAGCCAACTGTGCATGTGCAAGTGGTAGTGCTACCAGGAGCCTGGGCATGTTGGCTCACATTCTGGGACCATGCCAGCAGTGGGATATTCATATAAAATTGAACGTACTGATGTACCTAACATGTAAATTATAAATCAGGTGTCAACCACTCTTCCTTCTGAGTCAGAAGGTTGAGGGTTCACATCCCACGTCATGACCTTGAACTCACAGCCTAAGCCGCCACTCAGCAGCAATACTGCAGCAGCACTGCATTGTCAGAGGTGCCATACTTTGGATGAGATGTTAAACCGAGCTTCCATCTGCCTGTTCAGTGAATGTTAGAGATCCCATATCAAGAGAATGGAGTTTCTCCCAGTGCCTTGGCCAACAATTCCCAAGATAAAATTGATTGTTCACTTACAGTTGTTTGTGGACATTATAATAATTGACTGAAATGGTCACTTACAAATACTCATTCACTCCAATTTACAGTGTATCCTATGAAGCTCTTCGAGGCATCCTCCTGACGTGAGATGCTATACCAAAGGATTATTCTTATTTATTATTGTTATAATACTCAGAGCTCTTGCCTATGTTTCCCACTCCTTAATTGAAGTGTTCCATCTAGTGGTCAAGAACGGGCACTCAGCAAAGGCAGTTGAGTCAAATTGGAACTGAGGGCAGAATTGGAATCCACAGTCCTGAAGGTTACAAGAACCTTTCAGGCCAAAACCACAGTTAGTGGTAAATTGACTCCTCAAAAGGGCTTGGGATTGTCATAAAATGGGGCATTGATTTGTGGGGAGTGTGAAAAAAATGACACAAGAATGTCTTCCCCCACCGCCCTCTCCAGCCACCATGGTTGAAGAGAAAGGTCTATAGACGGGACTTGAAGGAGACAAGAGAGGGGGTGATGTAGATGAATTGCGGGATTGTGTTCCAGAGTATGAGGGCAGTGATGCTGAATGTCCCACCGCCAATGGTGGGGCGGGAAGTGTGGGTGACCTGAAGCTGTCCAGTCGCCACCAAGTGGAGGGAGTGGACAGGCTGATATAGGGTTAGGAGGTCGCAGAGGTAGTGGGGGAGCAAGAGGCTCTTCTAGCATCTCCCTTACACTGCTGGGCAGGATACAAGGCAAGGCTCATCTTGACAGGTGACCTTCCACCCAACCTCGTCAGAGGACCACAAAGTTAAAGGTCCTGTTCTTTCACATTGGTCTGCTGCTCTGCACCAAAGATATAAAGTCAGTAATGGAGCAATTGCTAACCCAGAGATTTCTGTTCCAATTTCCAGCCTTTTCTGAGCTCCCTTTACTAGGTGTTTCGTCAAGTGTACTTGCTTATTTTATTACTTTCTTCACCCACTGAATCTCTTTGTGCTCCATACTTCCCTAGGTCCGGGATTACTCGGGGACATATACAGTGAAGCTTATCCCATGCAGTGCAGCCCTAACCAGGAATACAGCCTGCCAATCATCTGCAATCCTCGAGAGCCCATCACCTTTGACCTAGATATCCGATTCCAGCAGGTGGGATGCATTGCTAACTGCAGCTCCTCTAATGTACAATGTGATCTCGCTGACAAAGCTCTCATCGCTTCTGTCTGTTTTTGAACTCTTCCTAATAGGTGAGTGACCCAGTGGCTGCTGAGTTTAGCCTCAACACACAGATGGTCCTGCTGTCCAAGAGAGAGCTTTGGTTGTCTGACGGCTCAATGGGATTCGGAGAAGGAACGGATGTTGCCTTTTCGGAAGGTTTGGTGGCATTTCCTACTGTAGAGCCAGTGACACAACTGCACTGAACTGAACCACATTGACCTAAAATAGATTCCTTGCTTCTCACCCACTCCCACCGACACTCGCACACTTCATTTTGGTCAGTCAAGTATCAACAACAACAAGAACAACTTGCATTTATATAGCGCCCTCCATGCTAGGCGGCGTCTCAGAGCGCTTAACAATGGCATCTAACACATGCAGAAACCCATCACTGTGCTTAAGAATATCTAACCCACATTGAGAGTTCTATGCATGGACCCTGCTTACCATTCCCTGCAAGGAGGACAGTCACCAGCCTGCCAATTGTATGTGGCAGAGTATATGTGTGAGATAGGGTATGTAATATTTGAGTGTGACAGTATATGTGCCTGTTTGTGTGAAAGAATGTGTGATGTTGTGCGTGAGACTGCATGTGTGTATCTAACTGTATGCTATATTTTTAAGAAAGAGAGACTATGTGGCCATGTGCTTGTATGTGTGACAACATACAAGAAGTAAGACCCGCTGTAACCCACTGAACCAATAGTTTGCAAAATGTGCTGCAACTTAGTTAAGTGATACTCGATTTCGACCCTAATTTGTGTGTTGTTACGACTCCACTCAGGTTCTCTTGTGTACGGTCGGATTATGGTGGATCCTGTCCAGAACTTGGGTGACTCTTTCACCTGCAACATTGAAAAGGTCTTCCTGTGCACTGGTGCCGATGGATATGTTCCCAAATACAACCCAACAAACAATGAGTTTGGTTGCCTGGCTGACTCCATTTCTTTATTATACAGGTTCAAGATTCTGGTACGTATCATTCTGTCATTGGGGTTGGTGGTGGGGGGAGGGGTTGGGAAGGGTGCGAAAGGTGAAGATGCTATAGTTTAGCTGTCCATCAATACATAATGTCTTTCTTTGCTGCAGCAAAATAATTATTTCTGAATCTATACTTGGTGTGTCCTGAGAGTTGTTCTGTTTTCTCTCTTCGCAGGACAAAGCCCAGCCTGAGACCCAAGCCACAGGGTTTGGTAGTGTTCCCTTTGACGCCAAGTTGGCTATAGATGTACCGGATGCTCTATCGCTTGTCAAGCAGCCCGGCTCTGATGGCTTCAGCCTTGCATCTTCTCCCCTTTTCCAGGTGAATGTCTAAGATGGAGTCCTGTAGCTCAGTGGTTAGAGCACTCGCTTTGCAATGAGAGATCTGAGTTCAATTCCAGGCAGGTCAGGGCGAAACCTTGGGCAAGTTTCCTTACTCCACACAGAGCCTAATAATAATCCCTCCAAAAAAAAAACAATAATTAAATTGGTCATTTTCAATCTACGACTGTTTGTGGGACATTGCTGTGCGCAATTGGCTGCCGCGTTCGCCCACAAATATACAGTCAATTCACTTTACAGTGTGTTCTGTGAAGCGCTTTGGGACGTCCTCCCGACGTGAAAAGCGCTATATCAAATGCAAGGATTATTATTATTAAGATCAGCGCCCATGTTCTTAGGCCCTGTGGATTTCAGCAAGCGCTCTGTCACTGTTGTGAGCACGGAAAGTGGCCTCCATAGGCTTATACAGTCCAAATTTATACAGTGCCTTTTACGTCAAAAGGAAGTCCCAATGCTCTTGACTGCTGACTGGGCACTGAGGGGGTTGGGAGGTGAAAGATGACCGAAGGTTTGCTCGAAGAGACTATATGACTTGCCTAGTTAGACCAGTGTCTCCTCAATAAGTTCAGAATGGCCATTTTGGCACTCAGAAACATCCAGGAGGAATCCCAGATGGTGGCACCCAGGGTTTTCACTATGGATGTTACCATTGTTTAGAAGTTAGGACACATTTAAAAACACAGATTAACATTGTTCCTGAACTAAGGAACAATAGCAGCCCTTTTCTCCCCACTCTCTGGAACGTCCCTCCGACTCACTCCATCCTTCACCTCTTTCAAGGTCTGTCTCAAGATCTATGTCTTTGACCGTGCCTTCGGTCATCTTCCCCATCCACCACCACCCCCACCCCCTTGTCTTACATCCCCAACTCAGGTGTCAAGGCAGAATTGTTAAGCACCACGGTACATCCTTAACATGAAAGGAGCTTTATAAATAAATTTATGCTGATCCGTGTTCCGAATGTCTAGAATTTGACAAGTTGTTGAATTCACTCTTTGCAGCTGATTTTCTGTGGTTTGTTATTGGATATGCGTGTTGGGTATTTTTGCTTTGGGGGATGGGCCACAGTGAAGTTTCTAATGCTGTGTATTCCAACATTCCTATAAAAGAGATTGGAAACTTAGACGCCCCGCCCCTCCCCGACAGATACAATCAAATTATATCTTTCCAAATCCCCCTCCAGGTGGCAGCTGGCCGTGAGTGGTACATCCACATCATCTACACCGTGCGCTCCAAGGAAAATGCCAACCGAGGAATTGGGAAGAGGAGCCTGGATTATCTGCACCATTCGATGTCCTCCACAGGCCTCAGCCGCAGTCGTCGGGCGGCACCCCAGGCACCCGATGTTGCCCAAGAAATTGGAAAGGAGAAGAACAGAGGTACCAACATCCAGCACATAGCGCTGGACCGGGCTGATAAAATCGCCATCGCCCAGAAGGACTATCCACCCAGGGGTGAGCAGCACCAGAGGCCGCTGTTGTCTGCTGGCAGTGGAGAGTCGGAAGGCAGCCTCATGCCATTGTTGGGGGGAGCTGGCAGCCTGCTGCTCCTGGCTTGTCTGGCCATCATCGTGATCCTGCTGCTCAAGCGCAGGAACCACACTGACGGCAGGAAGCAGCCGGCGAGCGGGCAGCGAGCCGGCAGCAACGAGACGGTAACCACGAGGCAGAGCTGCAGCAGCGACAGCTCCGAGGTGTGACCGAGCCGGGAGCGGATCATCCCCCCCATCCGCACCTCATGCAAAAGACTCATGAACGGGGCAGGGAGAGAAAAAGAAAGGACAAATCTCCATGCTTTAACCTTAACCCACAACAGTACCTTGTCTTGAAACAGTCAGAGCCACAGGGAGAGAGGAAACAACTTGGGAGTGGAAGGGTTGGGGCGGTCTGGGTGGGGTATTTGCACAAGGCTTAAGTAGGGAAACCTTTAAACTTGTTGTCAAGGTGCATTTGGTGGCTGAGAACGACCCAAGTCAATGAATTTGAAAGTTATTTATGTTCAAAAGTTAACGTTCTCCTGCAGCATCGTGAGATTGTTCACTTAATGTTTTATACACGTTGCAGTCGGTTTCTTCTGTTTGGCGTGTATGATATTGAGCTGTCAGTCACAAAGTGTTGCCCTTTATTGGCAGCACCTTGGTGTTCTTTGACAACTATGAAACTGCTGCCACAATCTACACCAGCACACCTGGTGCTTTTTTTCCCAAGGGATTGTAATGTTTCTTTTTTAATTGTTATTTGAGCCTAGGATTATCAAAACACGTCGTAATACTTTATCACTTGTACAGAATTTAGTTGTTTTGCGTGCTTAGTTTCGTTTTTTTTTAAAAAGCTACTCATTATTTTCTTAGACTGGCAGGAAATGTTCGATGTTGCATTTATATTGCATTTGTGTGAATGGTATTGCTCCTAAAACCTCTTCCTTCCTGGTGGGATCAGGAGCAAGCCTCCAGTGTGAGGCGTGTTGCCTGAGCCCTCCCATTTATGCTGGACATTTGCCACTGAACCACAGCCAAAATCCTAATGATGCATCACCAAACTTTGTTATAAACACAGTGTTAGGCCTGATTTTGTAAAGGAACCCAGCAATGACAACACAAGGCAGAACAGAAGAATTAGCTGCTTTGGATTCCAGGTATTATGTCCACATAAGATACCTGGAAGAGCAAGCTAACTCCAGTATATCTTCCAGGTATTTATGGAAGGTAGATATAAGCAGTAGCAGTTTAGTGTTCCTTGTATATGAACATTAATCTATTGTAACATGGTACAGCTCTGTTTCTCTGTACATACATTGAGATGGTGGGAATCAAATGTCTTGCTTGATGCCCTTGGGGGAAAATTACTATTTTCTGACTATCTTATTCTGTCTTTTTACCATGGTGTATTTTACAGCGATCACTAAGAGTGGATAGAATTCCTTCTCCGTGGTTTTATATTGGGATTTCTAATTGTAGTGAAACGATTGCCACTGTTAGTGATAAGCTCCAATGTAATACAACTTTTCTGCAATCTATTATATGCTAAAAATGTAGCTTTAGGATGGAGTTTTAGATAACTTTTAGTGAACCACATTAAATGGATCTCACCATTACAGAGGCTTGCATTAGAATTCTCTGACCAGTTTTCAGATGCCGACCACTTGAAAAAGAGTTTGCCAGAAAAAGTGCCTACAACATAAATTGGGTTTTCTGCAGGAAAAGCTCCAAGCATTACGGTGACATGCAATGTGTCAGTGTGGCGAAGGTGGTAGCACTCTCACCTCTAAGTCAAAAGGTTGTGGGTTCAAGCCAACATCAGGACATGATTTTGTCTCCGCTGACACTTCAAAGCAGTGCTGAAGGTGTCTTGCATGGTTGGAGGTTCTGTCCTTTGGTTGAGATGTTAAACAGAGGCCTGTGTCTACCTGTTCAGGTAGATGTTAAAGATCCCATGGCACTAAAGAGAAGGGAGTCTCTCCAGGTTTCCTGGCCAACAAGTCCCTCAAATAAAATTGGTCATTCACTTCATGACTCTTTGTGGAATATTCCTGTGTACAAATTGGTTACTACATTTGCCCACAAAACACACAGTTAATCAACATAATTTGTGAAGTGCTTTGGCATGAGAGGTGGTATACCAAATGCAAGGATTATTAATATTATTAAGACTCTGACTATGGTTCAAATACTCCCTGAAATTCAGATCTCAGGTGTCAGATGACCTGGAAAGGTTTCCCTGGAGAAAATATGAGTTATGTTTTAGGGACATTTTCCAGTAGTTACGGTATATAGTATATTAGGTTGATTTAACAGTCCTGAGAATGTGATAATTATGCTCATTTGTTCTTGTTTCCATTTCTCTCAGTGTTCCTTGGGTATATCTAGGTTAAAATATAATGATGTTTAATTATATTTGGTGACAGGAACTTACTTAGCTCTTCTTTGAAACTCTATGGCTTTTTGCGACAGAGCCTGTGTTAGGAATCTGTTGCAAGTGTGTACTTTTTTAAAAAAAAAATTCTCCTTGCATTTCCTACCCTTTTGTTTATTTTGAAATAATGACCATTTATTCTTGAATTTTGAACTTGGCAGAAAAATGCTAACTGAATCCAAATTTTCTAAATCCTTCAAAAAATCTTAAATGCAACTATTAAGTCTCCCTCGCGGTCTTCTTGGTAGTCCTAAATTGACCAACACTTTCTTGTAGTTCACTTTGTTTTTAAAGTTCAGGAATGTATCTTTTACTACAGAGTCCAGTGTATATAAACAGCATTTAGAATGATTTATTTTTCTTTTGTTACAACTGCTGATGTGGACATTCAGTGAATGTATAGCAATGAATTGTCAGTCCAGTGAGATTATCTCTTTAGCTGCAATTTGACCTTTAGCAAACATTCAGCTGGTAAATACAGTCAAACCTGCCAGCTCCCAGGGTCTGAAACCCTACCTAATCTTAAGTTGTCTTCAAATTCAAGATTGGACAGAATTGTAGAAAATTCTTAAATTCAGTTGCTATTCAGACACCTGTTTCCTACAGTTCTTAAAAACAGACCAGCTTCCAAATTATGACTGAATTGAAGAATTTTGCACAATTTTGCATGTCTGAAATTTTAAGGCATGATGGTCTGACATGCTAGGGCTAGATGGAAATTTGGGCCTCAGATGACTGGCAAAGGAACACTTCTTTCTGAAATGTTATTGGGAATTGGGTTCCACTTAACTTGGAGCAAGGAACATGTCTGGTACAAAGACTGGGGGTGGGAAGAGAGGGTTGTAATAACAAGATGTGTTATGAGCTCTGACTGTATGTAGTTTGGAATTAATAGGATTGATCAATAAATGTGACAGTATACTGGATCTTGTTTTGAAAAAAATGCAATATAGGTTACTTTATACAAAGGTCTGTCTCAAGTGTCTTTTTTTGGTCAGTTGAGTGTCTGCACATGCAAATTGAACTCAGAATTCCATGCACCCCATCTACACATGGAAATCCCAGAGATAGACTGTTGGAATGGAATGTGCACTCTCTTCCTGGAGAGATGAATCCTGTTTACCTCATTCCGAAAAGTATTAGGCAGGAAGAACCAATGCTTGGGGACCACAGTGTGCGTTGAGGTACTGCTGGAGTCTAACCAGCTAAAACCACAAAGATTCCCAATGATATCACTGGCAAGCTGTCCCACTGCTTGTCCAGCTGGGACCACTCTTCTGTGAGAGCTTTGATTTGCAGGATTAACAGAAGCTGAGTGGGATGACTCCCTGCCCCCAGTGACTGGTCTCCCCTTTCAGGTCCTGTGCTCTCGCCAGCAGTGCCCTGGAAAACCGCGGACTGGCCTGGCGGAGGAACCGGACTACCAAGACTGCCACAGAGGGCTGGCTTCATTCAGACATTCCGTTGCTAGTTCAGCTCCAAGGAGAACTTGTTTACCTCTGCCCCCTCCCGCCAGGAGGATGCTCCCTGATTAAAAAGCTCAAGATATTCTCAGTTGACAGGAGCAATCTCCTGGAGTCCTATAGCTCAGTGGTTAGAGCACTCGCTTTGCAAGCGAGACACCTGGGTTCAATTCCAGGCAGGGTGAAACCTTGGGCAAGTTTCCTTACTCCACACGCCTAACAATAATCCCTCCAAAACAAAAAATACTAAATTGGTCATTTTCAATCCACGACTGTTTGTGGGATACTGCTGTGTGCAATTGGCTGCTGTGTTTCGCCCACAAATATACGGTCAATTCACTTTGCAGTATATCCTGTGAAGCGCTTTGAGATGTCGAGAAGACGTGTAAAGCACAATATCAAATGCAAGGATTATTATTATTATATTATTACAAGTTAGAATAACTTGGAGCTGTCGTATGCCAGCCTGGCTCAGTTGGTAGCATTCTTGCTTCTGAATCAAAAGGTTATAGGTGCATGATCCATCTCTCCACTTTCAGTTTATACACTATGGTGACACTCCATTGCAATACTACTGCTCTCCTTCAGAATGAAACGTTAAACCGAGGTCCTGAATGCCTGTTCAAGCAGACATTAAACATCCAATGGAACGGTTTAAAAAGAGGAGTTTCTCCCAGTGCCCTCCCCAATAATCGTTTTTTTGAAAAGGTGGGCATTCATGGTTGTTTGTGGGACATTGCTGTGCATAAATTGGCTGCAGCGTTTGCATACAAAATACACCTTGAGGTGTTCTCCTGACATGCAAGATGCTATATCAACTGTATGGATGATTATTAAAGACATTAATAGTACTGCAAAATTGATGCGTGACTTTCAGATATCACAGTGCTGAAGACCTGGGATTGCTGCTACATTCTTTGCTCCAGAGACACTTATGAAAAAGGTTTGCAGTAAAAGTAATTTGGGTTATTAATGTCTGAGGAAAAAGTGGCGGTTAAGAAGTTGAGTAAAAAGTGTGTTTTGTGATTTGATAAGGATTGTTTTTAACAACAACAGCAGCAATTTAAATTCATACAGCACCTTTCACATCAGCAAGGTGTCTCAAAGCACTTTAAACGTTGGGTTAAACTGATATTCCCAAGCTGCACTGAAATGCTGGCATCGTAATACCAGTGGGTTCAACAGTTCCACAAGCCAGTTCACTGGTTGCACTGAATGGCTTTGGGTGCAACTACTTGAACAAAGTCAGGGATAGGGATGGTGTTCATCCACCGTCATTAACCAAGCCATCTCCAGGAGTGAATTGTCCCACAATGTGGTCATATCACTTACCGCATTCTTCACCCCAATGTGTGGCACTGGCTAATTTCTTCCTGTTGCTGAATTTTCAGTAGCTGTCCATGAAGTTTTGCACATCGAAAATGTGTGTTTTATCTGAATTTATAACTGTAATTAAAAAACTTCCAATCACAACGATAACAAATTACATTTGGTTTGCACCTTTCACGTTGGGAGGATAAGGTGCTAATAAATCCATAAAATTGTTCAGGGCTGCAATTTGCAAAGATAATTCTATCAATTACCACTTCTTTGTGCTTTTCATCAAGTGATATTTAGTCCTGTGTCAGAGTTAACTGAGGCATGGGTGATAGATGCAGTTATTGGAACCTACCACAAGGGGACAGTAGACATGTGTTACGCACACCTCTATCTCAGTACAATCAGTTCACCTTGTCTTGGCAAGAGATTATGGACAAAAAAATTCCTGCAAATATCAGCAAAATATTTTTTTTGCAGTTATTTTACACTTTGTCTGGGAGCTCATAATGTCCCACTTGCCCCACTTAACCCCTCCTTGCTCATCTCGTGGGGCCCGATTGAAATCCCTTCAAGTCTTCACAAAACCCTCAATTC